CAGGAGAAATTCATTCCCACTGGGGGATCTTATGGAAGGCTTCCTGGAGGAGGTGCTTTTTATGGGGGTCTAGAAAAATCAGGAATTGTCAGGCAAGGATGGCATGGGGGAAGACTGAAAAGGGTCCTGGCGTGTGTGTGTGTGTGTGTGTGTGTGTATAAAAGAGAGGCTCAAACTCTGTCCCGGCAGCCTCTCCCATCGTGTTTGGGTGACAAGTGGGATAACAAGTACTGAACATTTAACATTTACTGAGCACCTCCCATATGTCAGCCTATCGCAGAATATCCAGAATGAGCAAAGCAGATCCAGCCCTTGCCTTCATGGACCCTGGAGTCTGGTACACAGTAGGTGCTTATAAATGGTAGCCTCTATTATTATCATTATTCTTAGAGGGCTGAGGTTCCTCCTCACTCATTCTTTCAGCAAGCTTTTGTCAAGCACCTGCTGTATGCCCCGCTCCCTCCTTGGTCCTGGGAAGACAGTGGTGAACAGAGAGCAAGCCCTGCCCTCACGGAGTGGACATTCTAGAGGGGAAGATGGCATGAGCTTGAGCATGTCGTCCACCCTCAGAGGTGGCTGCCTCCTCAAACACGCAGGCTTTACCCCGAGAGCTACTTGGCTGGTGGCGAGGTCAGGAGCACAGGACCCCCACCAGATGAGCGTTCATCTGGAGCTCGGGTCAGCTTACCTTCCCTGCCACAGGCCTGGGCAAAGGGACAGCCACGTGCCCGAGCTTGCGCCTCACTCCCAGGACACCCCTGGGATCGGACCCACGAGGCCTGGCTCTCTCCGCTCCTGCCTCCCCCTGCCACCCAGGGCCCCCAGTGTCATCTGTCTGCCCTTGTCTGTGTCTCACCCCCGGGATCCGGGATGTCTCCTCTGCCCAAGGATAGGTTGTGGAACCCGGCCCTGTCAAAAGCTGATGAGGGCTATGATATTTTCTTTCCCCCAATGTTAATATGCTGACACTAAGGGGACTTGAAACCATGTATGTCATTGGAGGAAGGGCCAGGGCATCTATGCCTGGAGAAGACTGGAAGGGGACATGAGAGCTGTCGGCAAGGATTTAGAGGCCTGTCATGTGGCCGAGGAAGCCAACGTGTTCCCAGCAGCTCTGGAGGGCCAGCTTGAGAGCGAGGGGGGACGGGAGGGGAGGAGTTCTAGGGAGACAGACTCCACTCAGCACGGGGCACAGCAACCCTCCCTAACCATGCCTGTTGGTGGAGGGCCTGCCTCCTGCGACTTGTCACAGACAGGGCTGACCAGAGGGTTCGTGCATTGCTGGGGCCAGACTCCATGACGGCAGAGGTCCCTTCCAGCCCCAAACATAGTGATCCATGCTCTGGGAATGGGGTCACTCTGGCTGACAGGCAAGGACACACGCCTGCACCCCCTTGATGGCAACAGCCCTTGCTGGCTGAGGACACCGTGTCACTTTCAGTCACCACATCAATGCAATTTGCAGTGACAAGCCTTTGTTTTACCCTGGCTTCAAGGGCTGTGGGTAGACAGCCGGGGGCCTGGCGGGGAGGGGCTGGACTCCATGCCTGTGAGCTGACAGCAGCAGATCCTGGGGGTCCCAGTCTAGGGGGTGCAACTTGCCTTAGCAACACAGCTCTTTCTTCAAATGGAACTTTCTACGAAAGCCCAAGATGTGAAACAGGGAAATGCTCTTGCTTTTTGGAAGAGGGCTTGAGGGACTGCAGCCTCATCTACTCGGCATCCACCGCTGTGGCCCCTGAGAAATCCCCAGGATCCCTAACAGTTCCAGAGAGCACACAAAGCAAAGAGAGCCGACTTTGAGCCAGACTGCCTAGGTTTGAACCCTTTCTCCACTACCTACTACCGGAATGACCTTGGACAAGGTTCTTGACCACCTTTGCATCTCCGTTTCCCCGTCTGCAAAATGGGGACAATCGTAATGCTTACTTCAGTTGCTGTTGTGAGGACTGAGTTGTTAGCTCGTAAGAAGCATCTAGAACACCTGGCTTATCATCAGAGGAAGGGTCAGCTCTTCCACAGATGAAGGCACTGACATCCAAGAGGCTGAGCGCCTTGCTCATGGCCACATAGCTGGTTAGTGGCCAGAACAGGGCCTCCACCAGTTTTCCTAGACTCCAAGCCCAGTGCTCATTCTGCCTGCCCTCAGCATGCTACTTGTTTCAAATGGGCACTCCCTGGATCTCTGGGGGCTCTTCTTAGCATGCCCACTGGCTTCTGGGATTGACAGGCTCCGTCCTCAGGGGCTCTACCTACAGCAGGGGTTGAGGAGCAGTTTTGAGAAAGACTTTTTTTGGCAAAGAGAGGAGGTAGACCCCTTGGAGAATCACCCCATGGCCAAGATGTATGTGGAGGGGGAGGTGGGAGGAGAGGGTGTGGGCGGGGGAGGCAGAAGAACCCAGCTGGAGCATGGCCTCCTACCATAGCACCACAGCTACCAGACCAAGAGCCTGCTAACGCCCCCTCTGGTCCTGCCCCTCCCCCACTCAAAAACCTTCCATGGCTCCCATGTCCTGCAGAACGCAGCAGGGCCCTCAGCCTGATAGACAAGCCCCTTTCCCATCAGGCCCCACTCCGTTCCCAGCCTGTCCCCTTCCACTTCACACCCACTAACCTAGACCAGCTCCTCAAACAGCATGCCTGCCCCCCCCGCCACTTCTTGCCTTTGCTCTTGCTTTTCCCTGTGCCCTCACCTCATAGCCATCCCCAGACCACACCAAGTATCACCTCCTCAGGGAAGCCTTCCCAGATAGCCCTCTAGTCCAGCAGTCACTTCTTCATTTGTGCTCCCAGAGCCCTCTGGGTACGGTCGAGAGAAAACTAACACCACTAACTTTAATCATAATATGTAACTATCGAGTGCTAGCAGTAACCCCGTGGCGGGGGGTGCTACTCTTGTGTCTACTGGTAGACACTGAGTGGTTAAGACACTTGTCCAAGGTCACTCAGCTATGAAGAGGCAGGAACTGCACTCACACTTTGGTCTTTTCTCGGATATTTTGGAGTCTGGAGCCCTGGGCTGGGTGTTCTGCCACTCACTGGCTCTGGGGCACCTGACATGCTAAGAAATAATTAGCTGAAATCTTGCCTCTTGCCTGTCCCGCGTGCCCCATGCGAGATTCTTAACAGATAGTGGTTGAAGAAAGCTCAGACCAAAAATGGAATTGATTTTATTTAAAAGTGAGTTCAACAGAGGAAAGTGTGAGGTCACCTGCTTTTCCAGCCCACATAGCACCCCCCTCCCAGACTCTTCCAGTGGGGCAGGGGCAGTTCCTGTGGAGACAGCTGGAAAAAGTGCAGGTCCCCTTCCTGGGAGGTACGTTTGCCCCTCTCTTTGCCACAGGCTTGAGTCTTGGGGCACTGGGGGCATGACCTGTGGTGTTATGGCCTTCACTCTCCCCACTTGTCTTGCCCTCTTCCCTCAGAAGCCTGGAGGTTAAAGATGGAAGCCTCCCATTTGGCAGATGTGGTCTTTCCAATCTTGCAGAGCTATGTTCCTCCACCCCAGGAAGGGAAGGGCAGGACCAGGTCCTTGGTGTCTGCTAGTTGTCCAGGTCAGAGCTCCTGGGTGCTGTGGGCCCTGAGGCTGACAGTGAACTGGGTGCAAGGCTGGGCGGGGGCAGGGGCAGGGGCAGGGGGAGGCTACAGACTCAGGACAGGAGGAAGCTTAGTTGGCCTGGCAGGTAGACTGGTGGGGACCAGGCAAAGGTGGCCTTTTCCCACAGCTGGGAGGCTCAGGAAGTTGGGAAGGGAGAGGTTGGGCCCAAGCAGGACTCTAGGGAGAGCAGGTGGTGAACCGGCTGCCCAGAACACTAGAATGGCGGTAGGAGGGAGCCCCAAGGGCTCCAAGAGCTGGGCTAACCGCTGGGCCCTTCTCCACGAGGCCCCACAACCAAACAAGAGATACTGGGAGCCCAGAAGCTAAAACCACAGGAACCAGGACCAGACAGATACCGTCAATTCTTAATTACCGCCCTCACTGGCACCGAAAAGCCCACGCAGTCTCCTCTGTAAATAAACAGCATCTACTTGCCTTTAGGACGCATCCTAGTGCATACATATTTACAGTGCACGTGTGATCTATGCTGCTTTCTTTCGACTCACTCCCCCACACGAGAATTTCTGGTGAAATTTTGCCTGCCTTGCATTTGGTTTGGGCTCATGTTTGCAACCACCTGTGAGAAGGCAGGGAGGAGGCTTAATCTGCATTTACACAGGAGAAAACTGAGTGGTTCTGTGACTCGTCCAAAGCCACAGCGAGCAAGTGGTAGGATCTGCACAGAAACCTGGGGCTTTTGTCCCGGGGCAGGTGACGGGGCAAGCTCAGGGGGCTAAGGGTTAGGAGGGCAGGATGTACAGAGGCCACTTGGGTGGGCTTCCAGCCCAAGGAAAACTGAGCTGAAGGGGGTGAGGGCTGGTCAGAGGGTTACAGAAATTCCCTTTTGGATTACACATGTCGCCGCTGAGTTTGGGCCAGACACTTCAGAGGGTCTGTTAGTGCCCATGGGGCAAATGTCCTCGGACATGGTGCCCTTTGGGCAAATGGGGCTGGAGTTGTGGCTCAGAGTATTGGAGGAGATGGAAGGGTGCTGGGCAGGAAGGGTGTGCTGAGGAAGTGGCTTTTTTAGGGGAGGTAGAAGTGTCCACTGAGGCCTGGCTGGGCAGAGGGTACACTTGGCCTCTCCCTTTGAGGTGTCAAGTTTGGGCAATGGTGCGGATCCCCTGGGCTCTCACAGAGCCCATGCAGGGAGGGTGTGGGAGGAACTTCAACCTGCACGGTGCCCCCATTTTACAGATGAGGAAACTGAGTCACAGAGAAAGGAAGGAACTTCCCAAGGTCAGCCAGCAAGCCTAGCTGGGAGAGGAACTTGTGGCTCAGAGCTCCCAGTGTGGGGGGCCAGATGGTAGGGTAGGGTAATTGCTGGGGGGGGGGCCTCTGGGCTGAGGGAGGGTGGCCGGCCCTGGCCAATGAGGGTCTGACCTGTGTGTGTCCTCCCCAGGGGCGCCCACCCGCGATGTCCTGCTGGTCTCTGCCATTATCACCGTCAGCCTTAGCATCACTGTCGTCCTCTGCGGCCTCTGCCACTGGTGTCAGCGCAAACTGGTGAGGCTCCTGAGGGCCCCGGGGGCGGGACCTGGCCCTGCACCCCGCCCCCCACAATTACTGGCTCCCGAACCCTCTCAAGGGTGCCCGCAGATGACCCACCTGCTCACGTAGTCAGACCCATTTCCGTAGGAATTCACACGCACGCACGCACTGCGTTTGCCTGGATGTTGGCCCCGTATGTCGTGTGTACACCCAGAACCACATACCTAGGGACACATTTGAGGACACGTGAGTCTCACGGGCATGCACACGCCCCACCTCCCGCAGGAAGAACCGTAAGCGCAGCCTGAGAATCGCCGCGGCCCCCTCCCACCCCGGTGCCTGGAGCCCCACCCCAACCCAGGGCTGGGCGTGGCCGAGCTGGGTCTCCCGGCCAATGAGGAGGCGCCGCCCGCCCCGCCCCACCCCCCAGCGCCCGCACATCCATCCTGGTTCTTGGGGTTTGTACAAGCACAAACGGCTTCTTTTCATTTTTAACGAGGGCTGGGGAATTAACGAGCAGGATTAGGCCATCAATAAGTAACGAGACCATCAGGAGGGACATTCATCACCCGAAGGCCCGAGAGGGGAGGCCGGGCTGAGGGGTCTACCCCGCCCGCAGCCCGCAGCTCCCCGAGAGGGGCTGAGGGGCCGGCTGCAAGGCTAGACCACCACCCCGTTTCTCCCCATCCCCCCACCCCCAGTCCTGCTGCCCCAGCCCAGAAGTGCAGTGGGGACTTTGGGGGCTGCAGTGGGGCACCCCCAAAGGTGGACCCAGAGGTGTCGCAGATGTTGGGCCTTTCCTGGGATTAGGTGTAGAAGCGTCCCTGACAGACACCTCCAACCCCTAGATTGAGAACGGTGGGAGTGGGGGCCAGGTGCCACATCTGGAACCCCCATTCTCTCCCTGCCCTGACACAGAGGGGCCTTAAGGACGAGGGGGGAGGGCCATGGTCGTGGGCACCATGTAGCTGGGGGCTTCAAGCCCCAATTCTATGGAAAAGAAGGGGCAGATAACCCAGCATGTCTCCTTCAGGAAAGGCAGACTTGGGAATGGAGAACATGGGTCTCCATCCTGGGACCTTCAGCTTCAGGGAGATTCTTCCCCTGGGGAGGAGCCATGGAGAAGCCCAGCTCGGGCCCCATGTGCCCTGAGTGTGAGTGCCTGGGTAACCTGGGCCCGCTCTACGTGTGCAGGTGCGTGGAGCCAGGCTGGCCGCCCTGCATTGTTCCTGGATCCCCGGTGTCTGCGTCTGTCTCGGAATTTCAGAGGAGGTGGAGGAGGGGGCTTGGCCACGTGCCTGTGTGTGCGAGTGTCCTCAGAGGCCGAGGGAGGGGCTGAGCACACACGCACTGTAGCCCTGTGCATCTAGTTGCAGGGTCTGTTTGGCTGTCTGTATTAAAGTCCGCATTTGAAGGCCCAGGAAGGTGTATGAGCAGGCGCTGCTGGTGACCTTGAGTGGGGGTCTGTGTGCCGAGTGTGCCGACTCTGAGGGTATTGGTGCGGTGCATGTGTGTCTCTTCACCCCTGCATGGTGGGGTGTGCTTCATCTCGTCAGATCTCCACCCCAGTGAGCTGACACTTGCTTCACTCCCACTGTCCTGGCCTCTCCTGGTAAGTGCTGCAGTGTGTGTGTGTGTGTGTGCGTGTGTGTGTGTGTGTGTGTGTGTGTTGTGGTGAGAGCCTCCCCCCCCACCCCACTCACTTGGGGACCAGTGTTTACAGATGACAGCTTTTGTAGCAGGTGGGGGACCGCCCCCTACCCCCCCCCCCCGCCAGTGCGGGAGGCACCGCCCCTGGCCCCAGCCCCTCCTCCCAGCCTCCAGCCAGAAACTTCCCCAGGGGTCCCAGCCATAGTCGGTTGGTCTATCCCCTGAGACTTTCTCCCCTGAGCTGCCCAGCCCCCCAACCCTCTCACAACTCCTCCCCTGCCCCCCACATCGGAAGAGCTGGGGAGCTTTCTGCCTGGGCTGTCTCTGTGCTTTCCGGGAGGGGCTTTCACATGCCCCTTGCACAGTTCCTGGGCTCTCCTTGCCTGCCTGGCCCCTCAGCAGCAGTGATGTGATACCCCGACAGTCCAGATCCTATTTCCAAACATTAATAACTTCCTTAATCTCCAGCTGGCTTTTTCCAGATCAGCCTGGCCAACCCCCTCCCTGAGAAGCAGGCTGGTGGTATTGGGTTCCCTTTGAGCCGCCTGGTGTCTCCTGGACTCTGCCTGGGTTTCCTGTCATTGCCCCCTTAACTTCACCCTGCCTCACCCCAGCCCCGAGTCAAGTCCTGCCCTGGCTCCTGTCCCCCCACCCCCAGCCCCGCAGTTCCTGCTGCAGAGTGATCATTGTAGCCAGAGGGGAAGGTTCCCTGAGCTGTGGAAGTAAGAGGGGCAGGCCCTGGATGAACTGGGGGACAGCCCACCCAGCCATGCCTGGCCTTGGGGAAGGGGCAGTTGACCCACCCTAGAAGAAAGTGCTGCCTAGGCCAAGTTCTCCTGCCAAGACTAGGGAGAAAGAGGAGAGGGGTTGAGGGGTGGGGTTGGCGGGCCCTCAGCAGGTCCTCCCTGCCCCACACTGCCTGAAGTAGGGGGAGATTGGGGGGGAGCAGGTGGGGGGGACCCTCCCTGTGTCTTGCCCAGAGAAGGGCCCTTGGCCAGCGTGGGGCAGCTCCAGGTCCTGATCTTCCCAGTCCAGACTGGGCATTATTGGGGATTTGAACTTCTGGGTAATGATGGGTGAGAGCAGAGCTGGAGCAGAGAGAGGGCAGATTTTGTGGACTCGGAGGATCCAACAGCTCCGTTTTTTTCCACTCTTAAAGTTTTGGCTCGGAGGCAACAGCCCGGGGCTGAGACCCCGGTGGGAGGGGGCACTAGGGGGACACTCCCATGCTATCCATTCTGAGAACTGCTGGGTACCTAGAGACCAGACAGTCCCTGCCCTTTCGGGCTGCGTTCTCCCAGGGGCTGGGGGCGCTGAAGTAAGTCAGGAGAGAGCTAGACATATCTGTGATGAGAGCCTAGAAGGATGAGGGACCTGGGGCTCATCCGGTGACAGTACCCCTTTTCGGAAAGGAGGAAAAGGAGGTCAGAGAGGACAAGGGACTTGACAAGGGTGACATGGGGAGGGTGCGGCGTTGCCGGGAGCAGGACCCAGGCACCCCTGAGACCTGGGGGCGCTGGAGGTGGAGTGAGGACTCTGCCCCTCCACCCACAGCATTCTGGGGGGCCGCTTCACTGCTGCCGGGCTCCCTCCGTGGGCGGCTCCCGTGCCCTGGAAGAGGCTGCCGCTGGTGGGAGTGTCGGGGACACGGCTGTGCGGCTCTTACTTTGTTTCAGGGAGGATGGAATCATTGGCTGTTGTGGCTGTGGTGTGGGAGCACAGGACGGGATGTTGGGGAAACGTGTGTGCACGCGTCAGGGTGTGCGTGTGTGTGTGTGTGTATGTGTGTCTGCGCTGCCTGGCCCGGGCCCGTGGCCCATGGGTGCGCGTGAGCTCACTCCGTGGCAGCCGGGAATGTTAATGGTGCCCAGCTCTGCATGAGCTAAATTTAGAAACCCAAACCGAGAAGGTGAATGGTGCTCACCTTCCCAGCGGCAGGCCCGGTCCCTACTGCAGCCACGGCCCTTCCCCTGGCCGGGGGACCTGGAGCCCCCGCCCGGCCTGCCATGCCCTTCCCCCGCTCATGCTGGTGTGAGGAACTCTGGGGTGCCAGTGGGCGGCCTCTCTTCCTAAGGCTGCCTTCCTATAAAGAAGAGTGCTCAGGCCCTGCCCTGCCTCACTGCCCAAGGCAGGAGGACCCCAGGGAGCCCCCAGATGACGCTGGGTATGGTCCTGGGCCGGACTGGGCACGGGGCCCTCTCCCTGCCCCCGCCATTCACGTCACTGGCCACTGCCAACCTTGCCCCTGCAGGATGCCACCCCCACCATCTGGGGGTGGTGACGTGGCCAGTGTGACGTGGCCAGGCGCCTGAGAGCCGTCTGTCCGTGGCAGAGGGAGATGTGTTTCTGGGAGCTGGGCCAGAGCCCCAGGAGACAGGCAGCCGGGAGGGGCCCCATCCCTGGGGGTCAGGGGTACCCTTCGAGGGGCAGCGGTGGTCCTCGAGCCTTATGGGTCAGGGAGCTACCAGCCGGCGAACAGATAGCAGTGGGGCTGGCCCCCCACATGGGGTGGTGACACCTTCACACGTGGGCCCCTGGACCTTGTGGCCAAGGCTGGGCCCCAGCCTGCTCCCCTCCCCAGGCCCGTGCTGGGGAGGCAGGGAGGGCGCAGTTCTGTTTGCCCGGAGTGACCCTGGTGCTATCTCCACAGGGCAAACGCTACAAGAACTCCCTGGAGACTGTAGGCACGCCAGACTCAGGGCGTGGGCGCAACGAGAAGAAGACCATCAAGTAGGTGCCAGGCTTCCAGTTTGGGGCGGGAGCACACAGGCAGCCCCAGTGGGAGGAGCCTCCCCCCTCCCCAGAGCTGGCCACACACCCTCACACGTTGGCACCATTCTCTCTCCCTGCCCCGTGCCTGCACACTTCTAGTGCCTCAGGGTGGCTCGGGAGCTCCAGCTTTTCTGCCCACGCCCCGCCCCCCCCAGACCCTCACCATGTTCCAAGGACCCCAGCTCCCCATTTTCTGGCAACTGTCACTTCCAGCTCTGTCTGCCTCGTCCCGCCACCCTGGTTGCTGGTTCCTCCATCTACCCTCATATCACACACCATCTCCAGCACCCTCCTAGCTCCCCTGCATATCTGAGGGCCCCCCCCAGCCCCGGCTGGGATCCCCTCTCTCAGGGGGCTCAGGCTCTTCTCTAAGACCTCACCAGTGTCCTGAGGGTGACTTGGAAGGTGGGCAGACCTCAGTGCTGGGCCACTTGGGAAGCAGAGCAATGGGGACTCTTCCCTTCCCCGTCACTTCTGGTCCCCACGGCCTGTCTTGCTGCCTCTGCCTCACCCAGGCTCCCTGCTTGTGCTCTGAGATCCCCCTTCAAGGAGGCGGGTTTGCCTTCCGCAGACCACCTTGGCCGGCCCACGGCAGATGGTCGCTGGGACACACCCAGGGCACCCCCCCCCCAACCACCCTACCTGGCTGGAGGCTCTGTGAATGAGGGTTCTCTCTGGAGGGCTCCTCTCTGCTGAACCCAGGCCTACGCTGGGAGGCCATTAGGCTGAGGTGGGGCTGGGTGCCCCTCCGTCTTAGCCTGGCCAGGGCCAAGCCTGCCAGCAAGGGGCTTTGCCTGAAGGGGAGCCGCCCCAGCCTTCCCTGACCCCCACTTCCTCCCTTTAACTCAAGACGTGCACCATCCCTGCCCCCCTTCCCACAGCCTAGTCCGTCCGCCCTTCTTCTTGTCCCTCTTCTCCTTTCTCCCTCTCCCCTGCTCCTGAGGGCTCTCTCCCTGCTCCTCCCCTGTTTTCAGCTCTTGCTCTAACCCTGTTTAGGGCCTTCACAGAAGCTTCCAGTGTGTGCCTTGTGGGGGAGGGGGGCGGGCAAGTGGAGGGGTGGGCCTGCCGAGGTTGGGGGTGGGAGGAGGTTCGGGAAGAGGCCTCGGGGAGCCTTTGAAGCCGGGTTTGGTTGCACACTCTCCGGTCTTCAAAGCCGAAAGCTGGCAGGTCTCAGGGGCTGATGCAGAGCCCAGGCCCCAGGCTTTCTGAAGGCAGGGAGGGACCATGTGGGGCCCAGCCCAGCACCTATGCCGCCTCCAGACCAGGCCCCTAACCCAGTTTGCAGCTGGGCCAGGGGGCCTGTCTCTGCCAAGTGACCACAACCTGGGGATGTGTATGTTCTGGATAGTCATGGAAAGGGCCCGTGAGAGGGGATGGGATGCCCAGCGAGGGGGAAGGCAGGCAGCACGGGGCGCAGCAGGCTCTGCAGGCTGGGACAGCACCCACGAACGCTCCCTGAGACAAAGTGAGGGCAACAGTGGCTCTCCCCTCTTCTCCACAGCCCTGTAGCCGCTGCCACCTCCCACCCTGCTGAGCTGTCAGAGCCTCTGCCTCAGGGGAAGGGAGTCACCATTCCAGTCTACATGCCCCTAGGTTCCTAGGCCTTTACCTCTTGCCAGGGCCCAAAGCCAGTCGAGTGGCAGGAAGCAGGGTTTACCCATTGCACAATCTCCACATGGGCTTAGGAGCTCCTCTGAAGGGATCTTTTGTCAAGGATGCTGGGAAGTTGCATTATTTAGCAGTGGTTCCCAAACTGTGTAAATGATTAATAGTTATCCCATGAATCACTGAGGTTTCATCGGTTTCATGGCCAACTAAGTTTGGGAAACACTGCACACTCTATCTCCCTCTTGGAGATACGGGTATTCATTGACCCATTAGAGGCTCTGAGAAGTCCTGCAGTAAAGGAACCTGTGTTTCCAAAACTTTTAAAATTAAAGATGGTCTTTTCCAGTACTGCAGCAGACAACATGAGGGACCCTGGAGCTCCTTGGAACAGAGGGTGGGAGACCAGCCTGGCAGTGATGACCCTGGTGGCTCTTTCTCTCCAGGACCTAGGATTGATTTGATGACACTTGATTTTGGAGATCTGGAGGGGGGCAGGGGGAGGGAGGCCTTCCAACTGGTTCCCTCTCTCTGTTACACTGGAGGAGGGGGACCAAAGGATGTCTCTGGCAGGAACAGGGTCTTCTGTTGAGGGAGCCTCCCCAGGGAGGGGCCTCCCGGTGCTGAGGCCTGTCCTGCCTCTCCCATCTCAGCCTCCACTGTGCCACTCACAAACTGGCTCAGGACTCTGGCTTCGAACCCTGTGTACAGAGTCCTTGTGAGACATTTCTGAGGTGCACTCTGCTCCAGACAGACAGACGCTGTCCACACCCCCCTGGGCCAGGACCACCATCTCCTCTGGGCCTGTGGTGGCCGCCCAGCTTCTCTCCTTTGTTCCCAAGTCTGAGGCTAAGAACCAAGGTCAAGGTCAAGCTCTGGTGTGGGGTCGGTGTGGGCGAAGAGAAGCAGGTGCCCCAAGAACACGTTTGCTCCTTCTTCAGGGGGTGTGCCTCCCCACAGTGGCCTCCCCCACAACAGGGCCCTCGCCTTGGCCTTGAGCAGTGGCACAGCCTCAGCACAGGCCAGGCCCACCCCCAAAACCTCCTAGAGCCCCTTCCCCTAGATGCGTTTCTGAGGGCTCAGGCATGGCTCCCTTCTAGAGTGTTCCTTTGGCCTGTTTCTTCTGCCTTTCCTCTCCCTATGCTCCGAGACCTGCTCCTCGGGGCCCCAGGAGCCTGACAAGCTGATGGAGCCCCTTGTCTGAGGCTTCTGCAGCCAGCCCCCAGAGGAAGTCCCGGCATTCTCTGTGCTTCCAGCCTATCTGCTTCATTGGTATGACTTGTCTCAGAGCAGAAGGAGGTGGGAAGACTGGGGCAAAGGGTCCCTTCCAGACCTAGCAGCTCCACCTTGGCAAGGATCAGGGGCACAGGGAGAGGCTACCCTGGCTGGCAGGTCAGGTATGTGTCAAGGGCCCGGGGCTGAGTCTGCCCATCCACCCCCACAGAGAAGGGCAGGCTCCCTCCACACAGGCCCCAAAACGTTGGACCTGAAGGGCTCCGGTGACTCTGGTCACGCCCTCAGCAAGGTCAGAGGCCTGGAGACCTTTCTCTTTTCTGGGGGGCCACCCAATCACCACATCTGCAATGAGTGGGGAATGTCTTCAGCTCAGCTGAGATCCCACCAAGCTCACACAAAGGCTGTGTCCTAGGAGGAGAGAGAGCAGAGGAGGCTGGGGGTACCTCAGGCCAACAGGAGGAGGAGAAAGATGGGCAGGGAGCCGGGCCTGCCCCAGGAGTGGCTCAGTGGAGGTGGATGGAAGAGGGGAGAACCTTGGGTCTCCGCTGTGGGAGAGCTGACAGCCCAGCGGTTACAGCCAATCTTCTGGTTTGGCAGGCAGGGAGACTGAGGCCAGGAGCGGTGGGCCCCCGGACAAGTCGGCGGCAGGGTCTGATCTACCTTTCAGCTCTTTCCAGCCAGAAACCAGCACCCTGTGCTTCTCCCACGCCCCGCGCCAGCCTCCCCCAGGCCTGTCCCCAGCCCCCTCTCCCCCCCCCCAGCTCCCCTCTCATCATCTTTCTCTCTCCCACCAGCTTCCCGGGCTCGAGGCTCCAGCGTGCCCACCTGCAGCTCGCCTCCTTTCTGCGTGGCTTCTCCCGGCCCTCGAGTGTGTGAGCGTGTGCGGGCGCGCAGGCGGGCGCGTGTGTGCGTGTGAGTGTGTGTGAGTGAGTGTGTGTGAGTGTGTGTGTGTGCGCGCGCATGCACTCGCTCGCTCAGGGCGCAGCTGCCGCCTCTCTTCCTCCCGCAGGAGCAGACCCTGGCCCTCTCGGCTCTCTGTGGCTCTCTGTGTGTGCAGCCCCGGGGGCCCCTGTCCCCTCTGCCCCCGCAGGACTTGCGGTTCTTGTTTCTTCTTGTATCTCCCTGTTTTCTCCCCTCTCTCTCTGCCCCTCCAGCGATCTAGACAGAGACTTTTGGAATAACAATGAGAGCACAGTGCAGCAGAAATGGAGCTCCTATCCTCCCAAGGAGTTTATTCTAAACATTTCACCCTACGCCCCTTATGGCGACCCACGACTGTCCCTCAAGTGAGTGACTTTACCTGGTTTGATCCTATGTACCGAGTAACGCGCACGTCCTCCTTCCCCTCTGGCCCTCACTTCCCTCCCGCTCCTGTCCTCCCCGGACTTCCCCACCGGTGCACCCATGGGCAGGCCGACCATGGAGACGAGCAACCCCTCCTGCCTCCCCTCACCTGCCTGCCCCTCTCCCGTCCCCTCCCCCAGGGCCAGCCGAGCAGGAGAGCCCCCTCCGCAGCCACACCCGGCCCCCCAGCGGGTCTCCTCCCCCGTCTGTGCAGTCAGGATGGGGTTGCCCGTTTGGTCCCTCCCTCTCGGCGTGGCTCGCTTTCTCCTCCCCGCTGTGTGCTGCTGCCCTGGCTGCTCGGTGGTGGTGGTCAGTGGTCGGTGGTCGGTGGTCGTGGTGGCGGTGGTCGGTGATGGCGGTGATGGTGGTGGTGGTGATGAACTCTGACTAACACGGCTTTCTCTTTCTCCCTGCCTTGGGGCCTCCTGGCCTGGACAGCCCGCTCTTCCTCCGTCGTTAACCCTTCGTTGTCCTGTGGGATAGAGTTGGAGGTGGCTGCCCTCCCCCCACCCCCGCCGCCCCCGCCCCAGGCGGTGGGGAGGGGCCGCCCCTCCGTTGTCGTGGTGCGTTGTTCTCCGACCCCAGCCCGCCCGGCCCCCTCTCTCCTCTCTGCAGGCTCTGCTGTTAACCCACTTGCAGTGCTGATGTCTCTCTCTCTCTCTCTGTCTGTCTCTTGTCCGTCTGTCTCTCTCCTCCTCTCTCACTGTCTCTTTCTTCCTTTTATCTGTCATTGTTTTTCTCCCTCTCCCACCCCCACCCCCACGTGTGGCCCG